AAGAGATGAAATTTTTGGAGGGTAAAATAGGTATTTTAAAAAAGTTAACTTTTATATAAGGAGGAAAACAATAATTGTTCAACAGTTGGAGAATGAGTTTGATTTCTAAAACAAACTTGAGGTATGTAAATAATTTTCATCTGTTCAAACCTATCATAATTGATATTATTTCTACGCCATTATTTGAAGGGATAATTTCACATAAATACAACTTATTAACATGACTTGCAATATAATAGCCTAGATATCACTTTGCAAATTTATAGCCCAAAAAAAATAATAGGCTAATTCCCGAAAGACAGCTTATTTTGCTCCCTCTCTATACAACCAGTTGTTTTCATTCTGCTGATTTCCTTTGATTATTAAGCATTTGATAAAAAAATGCAAATCAGCCACAACGCAACTCAAAAATCCTAAATAATACATATTATCTGAAGGTAAGAAATTCAAACACTTTTATGTGCAATTGCTGAAGCAATCCAACAGGATAAAAGAAAAATAAAAACTTGGTAAATGAATTGTAGAATCCCCCAACGCTCATACAACACATTACACGAAAAAGAAGAAGAGAAGGAAGTGTCAAACTTCTGTAGAGACCTTTTACACACTAACAATGTATATACATCCTTATAAACTGAAAATATATATAATTATACAATATTATACACAAATATACACATTTATACACAATTATACAATATTGTATAACTTGTATAAACATGTATAATAGTGTATAAGAGGTGTTTGTATATCCATATACACAATTATACACTAGTATACAGTGTAAATACAAACTGCTACATATTTTGGCGCGGGGGATGTTCCAACTAGAAAGGACGTGTATTGGATCAAATGCAGCTCCAAATTCCTGAAAAACCATGGCCGACGACGCGCTTGAATTGGCAATATCATGACATTGCTGCTGAATTAGATTGAAAGCACTAGTTTTGCTACAACATTAGTGGTTATTTTTTGGTGCAAATCAAGTTTGAGAGCTATTTATTTTCAGTTTTGTGTGTATTTTCATGTTTCTTTCAAAAATCTTCAGTCTTCTGCTTGCCACCATGGACGACGGAGTAGGAGCCCGAGCCTTCTTTGAGCTATTAATGGCAGAACTGCGTGGGGGTAGAGGAGGGAGAATAACGGGGGCTAGGTTAAGAGAGGATGAGAGATCTATGTGGGTTAGAAAGAAAGAAGTGAGAGGCGGTGAGAGAGGGAAGGGAATGAAGAAAGAAGAAAATAATAAAAACCCTAAAAGTATGTCTTTAATAGTGGGCTAAAGGGTGAAAAGTTTTTTTCAAGTTATGTACAACATGAGCTAAATAGTGTAAGAGCTTCAAATGTGGGTCATTTTCGGTTGGGCTACTAGGCCAAGTGACATGGGCTATAATTCTTTCTTATTTGAATATCATAAAGATATTTTGACTGCTTACTCATCTACTTCTCCTCAAAATAGGATTTGTTTTGCGGCTCAATTAATAAACTATCAAGATGGTATATTATTATTTATTGACGCCAGTTTGCAGGTAGATGCTAGACATGCAAATACTGGTGTTGCGACTATGGATAACCTTGAAAAATTGCTTCATGCCCATGAATCCCAAATTCAATTTGTGGAAAAAGCCATGACATCTGAAACACTTGCTATAACAATGGTTCAACGTGCAATCATGAATAATTGGAAAAAGGTGAACACCTTACCGTATGCAAAAAATGTTGTTGATATGATTCAGAAAAAAATTATTACTTCATGAGATAAAGAAGTGACTTGTGAAGACATTTGGAAGCTATCAATTTTGCTTGATCATGTAGACTTTGTTTATATTTCGAGAAGTCTAAATAAATTAGCATATTATTTAGCTAAGTTTTCTATTACTTTGTTTAAGGAAGTATCTTTGGCAGAATTTTTTTCCCAAGTTGAATTGTAAAGTGTCACGACCCAAACTGAAGGGGCCGCGATGGACACCCGGTGCCTTACTCAATAGAGTACCAACGTAACATATCTTTCTTATCATACTACATGGGTAAATGAGCCAGAAAACCCATCATGAGATAACAAGAATAAAACATAGGGAAATACTCAACATATGATGACCCAACATCATATACAAAATTATACATGTGACATACGAGCCTATAAGGTCGACATGGCCATTTGTAAACTCAAAACATAGGCCGACAAGGCCATATAAGTATCCATACACTTGACATCTGTCTACAAGTCTCTAAGAGTACATAAAATCACAAAGGTCGGTACAGGGCCCCGCCATACAATTCAATACATATCCAAAGCATACTAACCAAATAGGCAACTCCAGAGCAAGCAGAGTGCACCAACACCTTTCGCTGAGCTGATAGCCTACTTGGAGGACTGTCAACCTATTAATCGGGACTACGGGATTGAAACACAGCGTCTCCGGGAAAAAGGGACGTCAATACGAATAAAGTACCGAGTATGTAAGGCAGAAAAATATAAACAAGAGCAGTAATGTAAAGAGAGATAGAGTAGATACAACCTGTAACATATGAGTGCCTATGTGGGCTACTGACATGAAATGCATAATACATATATACATAACCTTTTAAAAACATATGCCTCTGTGGGCATCATCATCATCATCATATCGTACCAGGCCTCAAAGAGGACTCGGTAAAAATGTACCCGGCCATCATAAGGCCCGGTAGAATCGTACCCGGCCACGTGGAGCTCGGTAAATCCAACTAATCAGTGATTGCATAATAGGTGTTGTACCCGGCCGACTATAGCGCGGCTCGGTAGAGTAAAATAGATACTATATATAATGCATGCTAGACTCATGGAATCACGTTCTAAACCTTTTGGAGTGACTTAAGGTCGTTGCACCTTCGATTAACATTATGGACATCCATACCCTCAATATGAACCTCAGTAGGATTCAAGGATCATACAACACTTGCTTAGAATAATTTTATAAGGAAAGAACAACACGGACAACCTTAGTTGCGAGGAGTAGATCCATTATGAAATAGCGTATTAATTTCACTTTAGATCATGCCAAAAGAAAGAAGGAAGCACCTTAACATACCTTTAATTTGAAATCTTCTATCCAATCTTCAAGTAAGCTCAATATGATTTTCTTATGTCTACAATGAGTAAACCAACTTCGTCGTCATCATATAAGCGTTGTAACTCTCAAATTTGGAAACCAATATTCTACAAGAAAACGGAAAACACCTCCCCTATTTGTACTACATCCCATATGTTACCAAAAGTCACCAAACAACAATAATATAATTCACAATAAGCTCTCCGATTTGTTCAACAACCATTTTGAGCGGCAAGCTCGATTTACGATTAACAAAATATGGTTTGAATCCAGTTCCTTTTCCATGAATCTGACTACAACATATATAACATCATACTTATGCTTACCATATTATTTTCGACCCAAAACATCATAAGCATAATCTTCAAATATAGTCCACACACCTAGCACCTTAACCTTTATCGTCAACATCCTATTTTTTATGTTATCTTCTTCAATCTACTAAATTAGCACATATATAAGCTTAATAAACGCAGCCACAATACAATAAAACTATTTATAATAATTTTCAGCCACAACAAACCATATATATAGCCTCAGTACAGCCCACAAAAAAAATAATGATTTCTTATGCCATGTCAATTACTATCTTGTAGGTTTTCACTCAAACAACTCAACCAACACATGATTGACCTTAAGCACAACCAAGAACATGTTTACTTACCTTAGGCAGCAGATACAACTTGAAATCCCCAGCTGATGTAGCTCACAACAACCCTCAATCACACCATAACCCTATAGGAGTTGTATTCTCTTCTTAAATCAACGTTTGTGTTCATGTTGGTGTGTAAACACTTGTATTTCTCCTTGAAACTCTAATATACATGAAGGAGGTACTGATTCTTAGCTTAATATTAAATAACAATACAAAATCTGAGGTTACTTACCTTTGAAGAATCCTGCAAAACAGCCACAAGATGAAGAACTACGATCTAGCAAGCACCACGGGATTTCTAGCATTGGATTCATATTTTTATCTTAGGTTTTCACCCTAGAATCATGGAGGAACCCTTGGATAGCATTTATTAGGGTTTAGGAACTGTTATGGGTGAGAAAAATGAGTTAAAATGATATATAAATGACTTAAATACAAGTTGAAGTTTAAATCGACTTTCTGGGTCCCATGGGAGTTGCTTGTGCAGTCTCGCGAAAATGCGAATATCTCTCTAATCCGATATCTTATCGACAAACGGTTTAATGCGTTAGAAACTAGACTTGTAGATCTTCAATTTTATATGAAGATAATCCCTTGATTCCAAGTATATTGGGAGAAAAGTGCATCTACATTTGACTTAAATTTCAGCATATTATGAATGCAACTTGTGATGACCTTTGCCAACTTTTGTTCCACAACTCGCTTGACTTAAAAACATCACATACGACAAAAATAACTCATAACTTAACCTCCTCATCATGTTATTGACCCCAGTCTCACCCCAAAAGTATATGTTATGACATTCCAAACTTGTCGACTTTCGACGAAACTTATTTTCTTCAATTCGTTTAGCGTCTAAGCTTTCCAACCATTTTGGTACTTGTTATTCATGATCTTAAAGATTTGTAACCTCCAAGATAACATGATGAACTTACGTTATGTACTTTCAAAAATGATCTTATTTCCGAGCTTACATTAATTGGCTTCGACGTACTCTCACGTACGAAAATATGGGAAGTAACATAAAGGATCCAATAGGCACCTTTATTCAACTTATTCGATGCATTAATATAATATCTTTCTTTGAAGAAGAAGAAACCCATCTCTTTATTTATTATCTAGTCTAGGAAGAATAATTAGTAAATTGGTTTAATGGAAAATAAAGCATAAAAATAAAAACGGCCGAAATTCAACTCTCTCTCTCTCTCCCCTCAATGTAGTTCTCTGCACGTTTCATTTGTCTCCGAAAAACATGAGAACATTCCAATGAACAAAAATTCCATGCGAAAATCTGACCCAACAAAAAAAAAAAAATCGAAAAAGCACTGAGCTTTTCCAAAAAATTTCAACGGACCCTTCACTCTAAATTTCTAAGGAAAAACTCTCCTTGAAACCTTTGCAAATTTCTTGTCTTTCCCTTTATTTTTTGTTGCAAAGGCACCAAAGGGTGGTGGGTTCCGCTTCTGCATTGCCTATTTTGCAGCCTAAATAAGATTATATACAATATATTTATGTTTCTATATATATATAAACATAATATCCAATTTTTATCTGTGAAGATAGAATATTTATGTAGTTATATGTATACACATTTTTGTATACGTTTCAATTCTGTGTTTTTAGCTCTGAAACATTGAAGAAAAAACCACAGGGCTTTTTTGTGGCATATTCTTGAATGCATTGAGATCAAAAGGTGTATCAGATGAGATGAAAAAGGCCAAAATATGGGATTGGAAGATTGATTTTACAATCAATGGGCGTGGGAATAAGGGTCAGTTCTGTATTTGTGTTTCTTTGTGTTTGGGCAGCCACTAGCTCAGAAGGGAATCAGAAGCTTAATTTGGGTGAAGATACGGTATGAAAAATAAGTTTTTCATTTCTCTTACATTCATTTTGAGATGTGCACAAATAATATTGGTTTACATATGCATAAGGTGAACATATATGCATGTAGAAATATGTATTAATACTCAGTAGTATTTCTCTGGCTAATGAGAAATTTATTCATTATCGGATGGAGTTTTTGTAGTTGGTTAGAAAAAGGGATGCAACCTACTCATAGTTTTTGCCCACAATCAAACGATTACTTTCTGGAGGGTCGTATTGCGTGTATCTAGCAGGAATTGAAGCAACTAATTTACCAATTATCAGTTAGGCACTTTAACCATTCTTCCATGGACGCATTTTGTGTGGGTTGGTGTGAGGGGTGGAGCTCCTTGTACATGGTGAATAACCAAATTCAGATTGGAAATGAACATTTAGGATAAATCAATGCAATTAAGGAGGAAGCAATTGTTGCGGAATCCAAATATATATAGTGTGAATGAGTCACAACTACTATATCAAAAATTATGGCAGCCACCAAATAATAAATAAGACAATAAAGCAACAATAAAAGGAACACCAGAATTTATGAGGTTCGGCCAATTTTGCCTACTTCCTCGGACACAACAAATATTTTATTCCACTCCAAATTACAAGTGAAATAATACTAAAGATAGAAGATACAAATGCCTTAAGAAGATAAGAAGGCAAATGAGAGGTGTTTTTAAATCCTAAACATTAGGCCTCCTTTTATAGGAAAAAATTCCTTAACAAAAGGCTAACCCACCGATGTGGGATTTTCCAAATTCAACAAATCTCTACCTTGGCAAAATTCCACATCTTCAATTTTTTTTTCTCTCAATAACAAATTTTGGTTGTGTTTTCATCTTCAATCTTCAGTGTTCAACAATGTTGACCAAATCCAAACAATGTTAAAACTTGACCGCAGTCACCACTTTTGTCAGCATATCAGCAAGATTCTCTGTAGTATGAATTTTCTTCATTGTGACTCCACCTTCTTCTATGATTTCTCGTACAAAATGATACCGAACATCAATGTGCTTCGTCCTTGCATGATAAACTTGGTTCTTCGCTAATTGAATAGCACTTTGACTATCACAAAAAATTGTAATACTTTTTTGTTCAACACCAAGCTCCTTTAGCAATCCTTGAAGCCAAATTGCCTCCTTTACAGCCTCGTAATAACCATGTACTCTGCCTCTGTTGTACACAAAACAACTGTTGACTGCAAAGTAGACTTCCAACTAACTGGTGCCTTTGCAAAAGTAAACACATAACCAGTAGTTGATCTTCGTTTGTCCAGATCACCCGCAAAATTTGATTCACAATATCTAACTACAGACTGATTGTCTTCCTGCTTAAAAACTAACCCAACATCTACAGTATTATGAATATACCGTAGAATCCACTTCACAGCTTGCCAATGCTCCTTTCCGGGATTATGCATATATCTGCTAATAACTCCAACAGCTTGTGAAATGTCAGGCCTCGTGCAAACCATTGCATACATCAAGCTACCAACAGCATTTGCGTATGGTACCTTTGACATATACTCTCGTTCAGCTTCATCCATTGGCGACATAGTAGTACTTAGCTTAAAATGGGGAGCAAGTGGAGTACTAACTGGCTTAGTCTTGTCATCTATGCCAAAACGTTGAAGTACTCTCTTCAAATATTCCTTTTGAGATAAACAGAGTTTCTTTGAACGTCTATCTCTAATTATCTCCATGCCAAGAATTTTCTTTGCCTCACCCAAATCCTTCATCTCGAACTCCTTCTTCAGTTGAATCTTCAACTTATCAATTTCTTCCAAATTCTTGGAAGCTATCAACATATCATCAACATATAGGAGAAGATATACAAAGGAACCATCTTTAAGCTTGTGCAAATACACACAATGATCGTATTTGCTTCTCTTGTACCCTTGCCGCAACATAAACTCGTCAAATCGCTTGTACCATTGTCTAGAAGATTGTTTCAATCCGTACAACGATTTTTCAAGTTTGCACACCATATTTTCTTTTCCAGCAACTTTGAATCCTTCTGGCTGAGTCATGTAGATTTCCTCCTCCAAGTTTCCATGTAAAAACGCAGTTTTTACATCCATCTGAACTAGTTCCAAATCCAATTGTGCTACCAAAGCCAACATAATTCTAATGGAGGAATGTTTTACAACTGGAGAAAACACTTCATTGTAATCAATTCCCTCCTTTTGAGCATATCCTTTGGCCACCAATCTTGCTTTGTAGCGAACATCTACTTGGTTAGGAAATCCTTCCTTCTTTGCAAATACCCATTTGCACCCAATTGCTTTCTTTCCCTTCGGGAGATTGGCCAATCTCCATGTATGATTCTGATGAAGGGACTGTATTTCATCATTCATGGCAATCCTCCACTTATCTTCTTCTGAACTTTGGACAGCGTCTTTATAAGTAGTAGGAACATCATCAGCTACAATTGAGGTTGCACAAGCAACCGTCTCTATGAGACGAACAGGTTTCGTTATTGTTCTTTTTGGCCTGCTGGTTGCTATTGATTCAAGTTGTTGTTGAGATTCCTGAGTTGGAATCTCCTCTACTGGCTCTCCTTCCAGAGGGTAATCTTCATTTGTTTCCTCCTCTGCTTCTTGTGTAGGAAAAATAAATTTTCCCTCAAACTCCACCTGCTTAGAAGCACCTTCATTTTGTTTGGTATCTTCTGTTACCTTATTTACCATAGCAAATTCATCAAAGGTAACATCTCTGCTGAATATTACTTTCTTTGTCATAGGACACCATAAGCGATATCCTTTGACTCCAGAAGTAATTCCCATAAAAATAGCCTTCTTTGCCCTTGGATCCAATTTTGACTCCGTCACATGATAATATGCAGTTGAGCCAAACACGTGCAAAGAGTTATAATCTACAGCAGGTTTTCCGTACCATTTTTCAAATGGTGTTTTGCCATCAATAGCAGCAGATGGTAGACGATTAATGAGGTGGCATGCATATGTAATTGCCTCAGCCCAAAATTCTTTGCCCAAGCCAGCATTGGACAACATACACCGTACCTTCTCCAGCAAGGTCCGGTTCATACGTTCTGCCACTCCATTCTGTTGTGGTGTATGTCTAACAGTGAAGTGTCGGACGATGCCATCATTTTCACAGACCTTATTGAAATGATCATTTTTGTATTCACCTCCATTGTCTGTGCGAATACACTTGATCCTCCTGCCTGTTTGATTCTCCACCATCGTCTTCCATTTGAGAAAAATTCCCAGCACTTCATCTTTGTTTTTCATTGTATACACCCACACTCTTCGAGAAAAATCATCAACAAAGGTTACAAAATAGTGCTTCCCACCCAATGAAGGTGTTTTGGAAGGACCCCAAACATCAGAGTGTACATAATCCAAAATGCCTTTAGTATTATGGATCGCTGTACCAAATTTAACCCTTGTCTGTTTCCCTTTGACACAATGCTCACAAAACTCCAAGTTGCAAGCCTTTACTCCTTTTAACAATCCTTGATCTGATAGAGTTTTCAAGGATTTTCCTCCAGCATGTCCCAAGCGCATGTGCCATAGCTTGGTTGCTTCTGCCTCTTTGTCGTCACTGGATGTCACTGTCGCTGTCCCAATAACTGTACTGCCACGATAGCGGTACATATTATTATTCTTCCGATTAGCCTTCATTACCACTAGTGCACCGGAGCATACTCTCATCACTCCATTTTCTGCAATGATTTTGAACCCTTTTGATTCTAGGGCTCCCACAGAGATGAGATTCTTCTTCAAATCCGGTACATATCGAACATCTATCAATGTTCTGATCATTCCATCATGGTTCCTTAATCGTATTGAACCAATGCCATATGAGGTAAGAGGGCTGTTATCCGCTGTGTGGATGACTCCATATTCTCCTTCTTGAAATTCCACGAACCAGTCCCTGTTGGGACACATATGATAGCTACAAGCCGAGTCCATCAACCATATGTCTGATGATGTTGATGACTCTGTTGTAACTAATGAGAAGTCTGAATCATCACAATCAGCTACATTTGAATCCATAATGGCCTTTCCATTGTTATGTTTGGCCTTATTCTTCAACTTCGGACAGTCTTTCTTCCAGTGCCCTTTTTCTCGACAAAAGGCACATTCATCTTTGCTGGGTCTGGATCTTGACTTGGATCTTCCCTTCTTTGTCCTCGTTTGATTTTGAGGACGACCCCTCACAAATAGTGCTTCTCCTTCTCCGCCCTTCTGTTTTTCTCGCTTTCTTTGTTCATAGCTGTACAAAGCCGAACAAACTTCTCTGAGAGAAACTTCGTCATTTCCATGGAGTAGAGTAGTTTCAAGGTGCTCGTACTCATCAGGAAGTGACGCCAACAACATCAAGGCCAAGTCACCATCATCATAAGTTGTATCCATATTTTGCAAATCTGTGACCAACTTATTGAAACTGGTGATATGTTCATTCATCGTGGTACCAGGAACATAGGTGAAGTGAAACAGTCTCTTCTTCATGTACAATTTATTTTGACTGTTTTTCTTCAAAAATTTATCCTCCAGTGCTTTCCATAATTTACTTGCAGAAGTTTCCTTTGTGTATGGATATTTCTGCTCTCTAGCAAGGTAGGATCGAATGGTACCGCAAGCAACACGGTTGATAATTCTCCAATCTTCTTCTCCAATAACATCTGGTTTCTTTTCTTCAATGGCCAGATCTAGCCCTTGTTGAAAAAGGACATCTAGAACCTCGCCTTGCCACATCCCAAAATGTCCGGACCCGTCAAATATTTCTACCGCAAATTTCGCATTTGACACAATTCTTGTCATAAGCGAAGATGCCAATGATGACGTATTGTTGACACTTGATGTAGATTCTTCTTGTTTATTGTCTCCCATCTTTGACACAAATATTATTTAATAGCTGACGACACAAATCAAGATTATTTCCTTTCTGGTGTGGAAGATCAGACTAAGCTGCAACCACAGAGCATACTCAGACAGAACCTTGACTCAGTTACCAAGATAAATCTTTTCTGATGTGGAAGATCAGACTATGCTGCAACCACAGAGCATACTTAGACAGTACCTTGGCTCTGATACCAATTGTTGCGGAAGCCAAATGTATATAGTGTGAATGAGTCACAACTACTATACCAAAAATTATGGCAGCCACCAAATAATAAATAAGACAATAAAGCAACAATAAAAGGAACACCAAAATTTACGAGGTTCGGCCAATTTTGCCTACTTCCTCGGACACAACAAATATTTTTATTCCACTCCAAAATACAAGTGAAATAATACTAAAGAGAGAAGATACAAATGCCTTAAGAAGATAAAAAGGCAAATGAAGGTTGTTTTTAAATCCTAAACATTAGGCCTCCTTTTATAGGAAAAAATTCCTTACCAAAAGGCTAACCCACCGATGTGGGATTTGCCAAATTCAACAACAATTTGCAAAAATACTATGTGATTTCTTCCCATATGTCCAAGCCTTGGTGGACAGAATTACTTAGTACTTGTTGCTGGTGGGAGGTGGCAGGTATCCTGTGGAATTGATCGAGGTGCACGCAAGTTGGCTGGACACCACAGTGATCCGGAAAAAAAAGGAGGAAGAAATTAAAGGACAGCAGGCTAGGAGTCATATGCCATGGTTTTTGAAGTTTTTCATCGTGCGAAAGCCTAGCGATGTAACTACATAAGTTGTATCATTTTCTGTAATGCGGGCAAAAGAAACAAGAGATAGAGTTGTATTTAATAACAAATAACAAAAAGAAAAATATCTAAGCTTGCACCTCAGAACAGTGGAAATGTTTCTCATGGTATGAGGAAACCAATGTGATTATCTGAACTAATTTCATTAAATTTATTTGTGTCAAAACAAGTGGTTTGTTAAGCACATGTATTTTGAAGATTTTACTAGGCTCACAAGATCTATTGCTCGTTCTAACTTTATGTTTCTTAAAACTAGCTTATGTGTTTCCAAGCTAGAGATTTAATTATTGCAGTTTTTTTTTTATGTTGTGCTAATAACTATTAAAAGTAAAATTGTGTTACAATTTACATATCCCAGAAGTATGCATTGTGAATTGTGATGACAAGTTGTGCGCTCCAATTTAGTTTTTGAATGTGGTATTGATTGTTCTAAATGCAGCCATCACTTCTAACGCTTCAGAAAATGCAGATCTGAGTGGAAAAGCATATGCTGTTTACTTCTGAGAAGAAAACAAAGTTATAGTGGTCTTTGAAAAATCAAAGTTCATTTGTGCTGTCAAAATTATATTTCCTGCCATAAGTTGATGAAGTGTTCTGTATGCAGGCCGAGCAAATATGGAGTCATTGCATACAAGGATCACAAAAGAATACAGAAGCTGCAAGTTTTCTGGATTTATCTCTTCATCAGGAAGCAACAGGAACCTATATCTACTTAAAATCAGATATAGCATTGTTGAGAAAAATAATCTTACAAAAGGCTATTAGTGATCTGACTCCTGAAAATAAGCAGATCCTTTTGGAGTGCTTAAGAAGGAAAAGTCTTCCTCTTCATTGTTCGGGTAGTAAGGCTACGTCCATTGCTTGGTTAAGCAAGTACCAAGAGCTTTTCTTACAATGGTCCAGTGTTCCCAGAAGGTACCTAAGAGAAAGAAAACTTCAAGAGAAGCTAACACCTGATGTTGCGGTTCCAGTTGTCGCTCCATCTCCAGGCGACAGGGCAGTATCACCAATTAATGCTCCAGTGCCAGCGCCCACGAGCTCACCAATTAAACCTCCTGCAAAGGCTCCGACACCTCAGACTCGTGTCAGTCCTCCTGCAAAAGCACCGGCACCTCAGACTCGTGTCAACCCTCCTGCAAAGGCTCCAACACCTCAGACTCGTGCTAACGCTTCTAAACCTTTGCCTGTCATTCCTCCTCCCGCTAAACCACAAAATACTGGAACAAATCCTACAGAAAATAACCGGAAGGACAGTACTTATATTATCGCTGCTGTTTCTGTAGGTGCTGTGGCAGGAATTGCCCTTTTGGTTCTCTTATTAATATTGTGTCTTAGAAAAAGTAAAAAGAAAGAAGCAGGTCCACAATATGGGCTAAGAGATGAGAAGCCCCTTCTTAACTTTTGTTCAGGTAATCTTTTTGCAGGTATTTAATCATGAAGTTCAAATTATCTCTTTGCATATGTTTTTTTTTGTTATGCCGCATAATTTCTACAATTCATGTGATCAGATTCTTCTCAGAAGTCTTCGAGCATAGGAAGTTCAACCCAGAAAGATTTCAAGGCATCATCTACTGTAAATAGTCTTTCGGTGCCGGATAATTCTTCAGAGGCTGAAGCTAAAACAGATGCACTTGTAACTGCATTACCACTTCCTCCAGGAAAATCTGTACCTCCATCCCCTGCACCACCACCTCCTCCTCCTAAACCACCTGCTCCAAAGCCACCTCCGCCTCCAAAAGCTGCTCGCCCTCCTCCTCCTAATCCACCAAAGCCTGGTAATCTGCCAAAGCCTTCACCTCTTGGAGCGCATAAGAGACGAAATTCTTCTGCTGGTAAGGAAACTGAATTGTCTGATGAATCTGATGCTCCAAAGGCAAAACTAAAGCCATTTTTCTGGGACAAAGTTCTTGCTAATCCTGATCACTCAATGGTTTGGCATGATATCAAAGCTGGCTCATTCCAGTAAGCTTTTCGTCATCTTCCTATGCACTTTGTTTTATGCAAGATGTCTGACTTTCTCACTTTTTATAATGATGTTACTACAGATTTAATGAGGAGATGATGGAGTCGTTATTCGGATATGCCCAAGCTAATCCAGGCAAAAATGAGGGCACAAAAGCTTCAGCATCTTTTGAAGCTACCCCACAGTATATTCAGATAATTGATGCTAAGAAATCACAAAATCTAGCAATTATTCTTAAAGCCTTAAATGTGACAACAGAAGAAGTTTGTGATGCTCTCAAAGAGGGTAAATCTTCTCTCTTTCTCTGTGTCTCCCCCATGAGATCCGTGAGAGTGAATCTTGCTTTTCTGAATTAATAGCTAGCGGGCAACAAATATAGTAAATTTATCACCATGGAGAAGAGTGTGTCTAATCCTAGGAGGGATTTTACTTTAGTGTTAACTCATTCCATTTTAAGCTTTTGCATGAAAGTTATCGACACCCTTAAAAAGAGATAAAAGTAATAGGAACAGAAGAAAGAGCACAAACAACATAGTCTGCACATAGAACTTATCGGTCCATTAGGAAACTGTATGTTATTTACTTAAATGTTTGGAGCAATAAAGAAGTTTCATTCTACTAATTCTTCTTAATACATGGTGTTGTGAAATTCCTACAAGCGCATTGAGAGTAATCAAAAAGTATTTTGAAGTATGAAAACCCCAGGGTGAATTTTTAAGAAGAAAAGGTACCTTTTTCAGTATTGCCATGTGCTAATTGATTAGAAATTAGATTAAGCTGAAAACGTCCCATTTCTAAATGTAAAATAAACCAATATGATGATTTTATAGAACAAACCTTGTAATTTCTTCAACCGTCCCCATTCATTCCTCCCCAGCCCTCCTCCCTAAAGAAAGATAAAGAATGCAAGACGAAAGAATAGTCTATCAGTTGTTTATGTATTACTCTGGTGATTATAAAATGTTTTGATGGAGTCTCAACTCCAATTCACATGCTGAAGGCCAAAAGTCTACTTAGTCTTTTTTGTTGGGCCAAACAGTCCTATGTAAATAGTTGTACTGTCTTTTTAGATTTTTTGAGCTCCCTTACTCTTGACTAGCCTCTTTGAGGTATATTTTCTTGTTATTGGCTAGCTCCAAGATCGCATCATAACATCTTGTAATGGAGCTAGCATATTTATTTTTGTAATCATTGCATCAGCTTGATGCCTTTCAATGAAGTAACTTACTTTATCAAAAAACATAAAATGTTTTCATTGCTCACTGTGATACGTTTCACCAAAAAGTGAAGATTAAGTACAAGTCCCCACCAAGCACTGCTGATGGTTATAAGCGATGTTGCTCAGACTCTTCGAAAATGTCAATGGGTGCGTGCCGGATCCTCCAAAAGTAGTGCACTTTTGGAGGATCCGACACAGGTGTGACAGCTGTTTCGGAGAGTCCGCGCAACATAGGTTATAAGTGAATTGAAAAACTATAGAATTACATATTTTTCTATGGTTGATCCTGGTTCTTGTTTGATATTCTTGTTATAGAATACTAAACGGTTTCCAATCGAAAAAAATTGAAGTTTCATTATATGAGAATCTTTTTTCATGTCCCAACATAAGCAAACTTGAATTGCTCTATTGTATTAACTTGTGGAAAAAGATTGTTGAGAGATACTCCAACTTACTTCTTTTATCTTTGTGCATTTTCATAGTTTTTATTTTCATTTTATCAAAGTGTTTCTCAGCCTTTTAACTGCAAATGCTTGCTTATCTTATCAGGTAATAAACTGCCTCCTGAACTTATTCAAACTATATCAAAGATGGCACCAACGGCAGATGAAGAACTCAAGCTTCGGTTATATTGTGGGGAAATTTCTCAGCTTGGTCCTTCTGAAAGGTTTCTCAAGTCCCTGGTTGAAATTCCCTTTGCCTTCAAACGGATGGAAGCGTTATTGCTCATGAGTACTCTTCCGGAAGATGTTTCTGCCATTAAAGAGTCCTTTGCAACTTTAGAGGTAAACTGTGTGGAAAATTTCCTGTTGCTCTGCTGCACATATCATGAGACTCATCTCGGATATTCATCAGTAAAAGTTTGTTTTTGGATTTTCCAAGATCATGGTTAATAAAAATAAGAAGGAGCTGAGTTTCTTCTTAATAACTAGTTCTGAACAATATATAAGAGCTCAAGATTTTTCTAATTGGAAGGTATCATTTCCCTGTCTAACCCTGATGAACTGAAATTAAACCCAATTAGTTGGACTTGCCAGAGTTTTTCTTGTTAGATTATCTATAAGAACAGACAAAGTTTTTTTCTAAAATTGAAAGAGGGGTCATTTTGGTTCATTGTGAAATTCAGTAGCTTGTTATGTGGTTTTGTACGCCTCACGATTTGTATTCCTATTGATATTTTGTGGCACTACTTATCCTTTATCTCCCTCTTTTTCTTCTCTCTTCCTTCTCTCTTCCTTTCTTGCTTTTCTTCTTCTTCTTCTTATTCTCACCCTTTCCGAGGGTCTATTGGAAACTGTCTCTCTACCTGCATTAGGTAGGGGTAAGGTCTGCGTACATAGTCTCCCCAGACCCCGTCTGGTTTTTTTGTTGTTGTTGAAATTCAGTAGCTTAAAATAAAACAGTTGACTAACAATTTAGACCAGTCACCCGTTATTCGAACTCTACCACCCTATATAACTGAATGAAGATGTGTGCTGCCTCCTCTTTACATTAAAGGAAAGTCATGAAATTTGGGTCTCTTGCTCCTGGTAATGGTTAATTAGAAAATCTTTCAGTACATTGTTCTATGATAGGTGTTTCTAACCATCACATGGTAGATGGCATTTATTGATTAAATAAAGACTTGCAGGTGGCATGCCAGGAGCTGAGAAACAGCAGACTCTTCCTGAAACTTCTAGAAGCAGTTCTCAAAACTGGGAACCGCATGAATGATGGAACCTACCGTGGTGGTGCACAGGCATTCAAGCTCGATACGCTGCTGAAACTCTCAGATGTTAAAGGAACTGATGGTAAGACCACACTCCTCAACTTTGTTGTTCAGGAAATTATCCGATCAGAAGGATTAAAAGCAGTGTGCAAGTTAAGGGAGAGCGAAAGCTTATCGAGTGTGAAAACAGAAGATCTTGTCGAGGATGCTTCTCAGGACTCGGTGGAGTACCACCGTAACCTTGGTCTCCAGGTGGTTTCTGGTCTAAGCAATGAGCTTGAGAATGTAAAAAAAGCAGCACTTATAGATGGTGACAACTTAAGTTCATCTGTCTCCAGACTTGGTAACTCACTAGTGAAAACTAAAGGGTTTCTAGACACTGAAATGAAAAGTTTGGAGGAAGGTAGTAAGTTTCGTGATACGCTCACCAATTTTATGCAACATGCGGAAGAGGAGATCAATTGGATACTAGAAGAAGAGAAAAAGATAATGGCTTTGGTCAAGAGTACAGGAGACTACTTCCATGGAAGTGCTGGAAAGGATGAAGGCTTGCGTCTGTTCACAGTTGTTCGTGATTTCTTGATAATGGTGGACAAGGCATGTACAGTGGTGAGAAAATCAACTAAGTTGGCGGCAAACACTCCTAGAAAAGGGGCACCCACGGTATCACCTTCCCAGGAATCCAATTCAGATTCTTTGCCAGATGTTCATCAACGACTATTTCCTGCAATCCAGGAGAGACGGATGGATGAGGATTTTAGTTCTGATGATGAGAAATCATCCCCATAGCTATCGGTTCAGGTATATTTGTGATTAGAATACTTGTAAACCCCTCTAATAGTACACAAGTGACATTCCATTGAACTGCGGGAGAGAGTACAAGGCTTCTTACTTTTGCTTTGATACATTGGGGGCAGAACAATTTGGAGCTAATCTGGCTGGATAATAATCTTCGGAATCTTATATTTAACAGCTATATGAAGCAGGATGGTCTACCTCTTAACAACTATATGAAGTTGGCATTTGCTCTGACGCTCTGTCTCTTAGATCCCTTGAAGGAGAAAGAATAGATGAACTAAGATGCCTCATTTGTTGCCATTCTCTTCAAGAAACATCCATACACTTCTCAACATTTTGTTGGTCACATTGTTGCAATATAAATCCAACTATATCATTCTGTTCTGTGATATAGTAAAAGTCTCTTCTACATTATTATAAATTCTTCTAATATGAAGTTGAGAGACCTAAGGAAGATGGACCAGTTTTGTACAGCTTGTGGTTTTTAGTTTTTATTTCAGTTCCAACTTCTTTTTCCTGGCCAATATCTGTGATCATTGAGCTATCGCTTCTAGATCTAATGGTTTTAATTTGCAGTCAATGAGTTTTCTTCAAATTATGCAATGGTGGATCATGTGTATGGTCCAAACAACAATCTTCAAGTTTGTAAAATACATTCTTGTTTAACCAAAAATCTGAGTCTTTGGTCAAAGCTAAAAAGAAATTCGGGTTACTGATAATCAAGAGACAAAAATAAAATACTTTTGAGAATGATGGTAAAACAACAAATAGTTTTGTATTTCAATGAATTCTCAATAGTATTCTGTGTCCTTACAAATGATGATACTTCTTCCTTTTATAGATAATTCTAGGTAAAGGAATGAAGCCTCAGCTTTAATGATATAATTATGAGTAATAAATGACATTAAATAAGCTGTTATACAATCATTCCTATTAAATACCAATTTTCTAACGTATCAAGTATTTAATAATGAATTCGGACTCCTTTCTGTCATCAGATCTTTGTCTTTAATGCCTTCTAATCCGTTGGCTGTAAATAATTTAAATTGATACGAGACTCGTATCTATACTTCGTCTCGTGCCTATTTAAATTCTTCTTCCCGTGGTTGTCTCCATCCGTGCCTCTTAGTCAATTGTTGCGCTTTGACCATTTAACTAAACCACGTGTCATGCCACATCATCTTTAATATAAACTCAGTTTTTTCCCAATACAGATAGTCCCCCCACTTTCCATTTATTTATCAATTAAATAATTGGGAAGTGGATCTTCATAAAAAAAGAATTTTTGCCACAATTAATGCTTATGACAGTATTAATACCTCAGTAGTCTTTTCCATTTAATGTTCTGCCCATGTGTCATTTTCTGATTGATTCCGCTATTTACACCCTTTTTCGAGACTTCTTCATTCTCACTATTCACGAAGTGATAGCTGCCTTTATTATAGGCTTTCCATCATTACACTTCTAAGGTTGACGGTTCCCATTATATACATAACTTTTTCTTCCTTTGTCTTCTTCACAAATCTTCAGCAAACACTTTCTTCTTT